TGGTCAGGAAATGTTCCCTCCTTAGTTTGTTTGTTCACAAAAATAACCAAACATTCATCTGGAATCAGGAATCTTGAGTTATTTGCTATTTATTAGTCCTCTATTTTTAACTCCAGTTCACGCCGAGCTCCTGCTTAGAGCATTTGGACCTTAAAATGTGTTTAACAGCATATTTATTTTGCTTTTTGGGTTTTTTACTACACAAAGTCTGAAAAAAGAGAAGAACGTGTTGGGAAAGTGAGATTTAAAATGTTCTAAAATCCAGTTTAGAAGTTGGAAAATAATCTGTCTCCTCCTTAACGGGGCCTTTGGAGCTCCGCCCCCTCTGTAACCGGAGTATTTGGTAAATAACCAAAAGTTAATCTGGAATCAGGAATCTTGAGTTATTTGCTATTTCTTAGTCCTCTATTTTTAACTCCAGTTCACGCCGAGCTCCTCCTTCACTGTTTAGACCTTTTGGACCTTAAAATGTGTTTTACAGCATATTTATTTAGCTTTTTGGTTTTTTTACGACACAAAGTCTGAAAGAAGAGAAGGACGTGTTGAGAAAGTGAGATTTAAAATGCTCTGAAATCCAGTTTAGAAGTTGGAAAATAATCTGTCTCCTCCTTAACGGGCCTTTGGAGCTCCGCCCCCTCTGTAACCGGAGTATTTGGTAAATAACCAAACGTTAATCTGGAATCAGGAATCTTGAGTTATTTGCTATTTCTTAGTCCTCTATTTTTAACTCCAGTTCACACCGAGCTCCTCCTTTACTGCTTAGAGCATTTGGACCTTAAAATGTGTTTTACAGCATATTTATTTAGCTTTTTGGGTTTTTTACTACACAAAGTCTGAAAGAAGAGAAGGACGTGTTGGGAAAGTGAGATTTAAAATGCTCTGAAATCCAGTTTAGAAGTTGGAAAATAACCCGTCTCCTCCTTAACGGGGAGTTTAGAGCTCCGCCCCCTCTATACCCCCCCCCCACCGTAATAACCTTCCTCTACCTGACTCCTCTTCCTCCTCCATATCTGTTATGGACCCTTACAGTTCACCTCAGGAATCCTGCCCTCTCAGCTGTCCAGTGGTGTCCCATACCAACCCAATTTAGCTTCCTCCCTCCTCCTCTTCCTCCTCTTCCTCCTCCTCCTCCTCCTCCAGACACCTCCTCGTCTCGTGTCCAGTTCGGTGGGTCTAAATTTGGCCCAGCACCTGCTGGGACCCGGGCTAGATCCTCCTCTTTACGGCCTTAAATCACATTACTCCGGCTCCAACCAGCCCCGGAAAAAGGAAAATTATGATTATTTATTAGACCCCAGATCTTGTGGAAATTCTCAACCCAAAAAAATCATAAAAAGCGTGAACATACCGGCCTCCAAAGGCGTAAAAAACAAACAAATATTTAACATATTTGATAGTGGTTGGGGGAAATAAGTATTTGACCCCTTGCTGATTTTGCAGGTTTGCCCACTTACAAAGAATGCAACGATCTATAACTTTAATCATATGTACATTCTAACAGTGAAAGACAGAATCCCAAAGAAAATTCCAGAAAATCACATCGTATGAATTTATAAAAATTGATAACCATCTGATGAGGAAAAATAAGCATTCTTTGTAAGTGGGCAAACCTGCAAAATCAGCAAGGGGTCGAATACTTATTTCCCCCACTGTATGTCTCAAGATTAAACTGTTTTAAAAGATTGAATAGTTTTAAACATGGAAAATACTCATTTGTAATATTTTTACACCAGTATTTTGAGAATTAACAAATATTTTATGATATTGAAGAGTTAAATGTTAAACTATACTAATGGAAAAAAAGGCATTTTTATTAAAATACAATTTTTTTGAGCTGGTTCTGCTCCTCTAAAGCCCCAGAGCTGCATGGGGGGGCTCTAAAAACCTGGTTTTGCTCCTATAAAGAGCAGCTAAATGTAAAAATAAAACTAATCCCACTTTCTGTCTCAAAGTGAAGCAGATGGAGGTCAGTCTGATACATAATTCCTTAGTCTGGATGCTTTTAAT